AGGCAATGATCTGGCCATAGAAACTATTAGTCGTGCTCTCGGAGGGCAAAACGGGTTTTCTACTAAGGCAATCCACAGAGGCGCATCTGTGCTTAAGAGCACTGTCTTTGTGTATAAGGCACTTCCAAATTTGACGGCGACGATAACCAAAGTCACGAAGAAAAAGACAAAAGCCACGAGTGTGATTGCTGGGCCTCTGTTATAAGGTGTTATTATTTCCAAGGGTGGTAGAAGCTCTGATGATGATGGCGACGGCATGGCCGTGATAAAATGCTACAAAGAGCACTTTCAACATCAATGATTCAAGGAGTAGCAGGCAATATGGGAACCAACAGGAACTCATGCTACCCCCATATATAAGTGCCCCATGTTACATTAGCGCTGAGGCTGACATGGATATGATTCATTTCTTCCTAGTAAGAGTTTGCCATGACTGCAGGGTTTTTGTTGGGCTCACAAACCTAATAAGTATGTAAATTACTATTTGTTTTAGTATCGACAAGGGCATCTGGAGTAGCCGGTCTAGATCAATTCGCACCATGCGTAGTACTCAGACCAGAAATACATTAAAAAGATATCTAGGTCTATGTGAACGCGCAATCAGTGTCGGTAGCGTAGTTATGAGAGACAAAAGGATAGAATCCCTGTTTAGTTCACATACCAGTCTGGCACTAATTCGGGACGGTGGCTACCACCTACAGTAGCTAAAGCTGCCGGCCGGCTACGATCAGGGATTAATATATCGGCCATGCTTTAGTTACATCGCATAGAGCAATTAGCTTTGCTCACTAATTGTCCTAAATGCAAAGCTATCCCGCTCGATTTGTGTGTTCTGTGTTTTCTTTTTTATCCTTGACCTTCAGTTGTTTTGCTTTTTCTACTGGCTTGACGTTCTGAAACGGGCATACTGCCCTATCCTGCACTTTTACTTCGACAATCGCGAATCATGGAATGCGACAATAATCCAATAGGGCTGTCTAGTCCCGCAAAAGGGCCTCATGCTATGAGCATAGAAGATCCCCCACCTCCATCTTCCTATCAGTATCGAGGGAAACCACGACTTGAGGTGAGCAGACAATTTATATATCGATATTAACCTAGTTCCCTCACTGAGCCGAATTATATTCCAGAGATACCTAGGCTTTCTACCTATGCTAGCATTTGCCGCAACCCTACAAGCATCCTGGGAATCTTTAGGATCCAGTCTTCAAGCAGGACTATTGAATGGTGGTCCAGTCGCAATTGTCTATGGCATGCTCCTATCCTTCGCTGGCTCCCTGTGCTTGACTTTGTCTATGGCAGAGATGGCATCAATGTACGCATGGATTCCTGCGATGAGAACATCATGTGTCACAATGTGCTCCTCTAACCGCTGTACACAGTAATCCCGTTGCCGGTGCTCAGTATCACTGGACGTATGAGCTCGCACCATTTGCACCTCGCTTCTTAAGCTTTATCCAAGGTGAATTACTTCCCTTTCTGAAAAGGAGCTTTGATTGAATGGCTAATACGTGATACACCATGGCAGGCTGGGTCACGGTAAGCCTCCAGTAAGCCGATGCCGCAGTTGACAGTGAACACTTTCTAACCGGACACCAATTCGTGAATAGGTCATAGCATGGTGGGCCAATGTCGCCGTTGGGCCATACCTAGTCGGCACTGAGATCCAGGGACTACTTGTGCAGAACTACCCTTCCTACGAACCAGAAGGATGGCATGGGACTCTCTTAGTATTTGCAGTCCTCTTCTTGCCCTTGTTGGTCAACATCTTTGCGCGCCGCCTCCTAGCACCAGTCGAAGTGCTATCGGGTGTCATCCATATCCTATCATACCCGGCCATCATGGTCGTCATGATTGTCTTAGGGCAACGACACACGAACGAGTTTGTGTGGACAGAATTCGTCACCGATCAGAGTGGATGGCACAACAAGGGAGTCATCTATTCAATTGGATTGCTAACAGCGGCGTTCACCCTAAGTAGTCAGTCTTCCATGCCCATCCACAATTTCTCAAAATGCTAACCTTCGAAAATCTCCAAACAGGCTTCGACGGCGTCATCCACATGTCCGAAGAAGTCAACGACGCACCCAGAGCCGTCCCCCGCTCCATGGTCTGGGGGTTATGCGTGAACGCCGTCCTTGCCTTCGGCTTCGCCATAGCCCTACTATACACCATGGGCGACTTCCAAAAAGCCCTCGACTCCCCGACCGGATACCCCATCATCGAAATATTCTATGCGCAGACGGGGTCAAAAGCAGCCTCTAGCGCAATGATGCTCCCGATCCTCCTCTCCGGCTGCTACTCCTCCTTCAACGTCCTAGCATCAGTCAGTCGACTCACATGGGCGTTTGCGCGCGACGAGGGATTTCCCTTCTCATCGTTCTTCGCACACGTATCACCTCGATACAAGATCCCCCTGCGATCTCTTTTCCTAGTAACGACAATCACCGTTCTGATTGCCTTGATCAACATTGGTTCTTCGGCTGCGTTCAATGCTGTCTTGTCGCTGGATACTCTCGCCCTTTATATCTCCTATTTGGTCCCGATTTTGTTCATGCTGATCAAGCGCGTTCGCTTCCCGGATGAGATCCGCTATGGCCCGTTTAACTTGGGGAGGTTTGGTATTCCGATAAATACTTTCGCCATGCTGTACGGTACTTATATTACGATTTTCCTTCCGTGGCCTGAAACTCAGCCCGTCACGGCAAGTGGCATGAATTATGGTGCTCCGGTGTTTGGGGTCGCTTTATTATTTGCCGTGATTGACTGGTTTGTTCGAGGACATAAGAAGTGGAATGGGCCCACAGTTATGACGGCGCCAAAGTAGCGCTAACGGGCTGTTGATTAAGGGATGGGAGCATACTAGTGGGATATATAGTGTGGGCGGGGATGGGTTGAGACGTCTGTGACAGATGATGATACCACTACTACTAGGTTTCGGTTTCAGTTCTCTTTCAAAAGTGGGTTGTATGCTTGCATGCTGATAGGATAGCCATGATGATGACATGTCCAAAGATGACACAAAATAGACGATTATTTGTTCCAGCGTCCATCACAGAGTAGATGGGACGATCTGGCCTCAGCAATCAATTCCGCGCGATTCAAAAATCTAGTTATCATGCAAGGAGTCTCAGACTCTTTAGAAAATATATACATCTTTAAAAAGCGCCCAGTAAATATGCCAGATATTCCTCACAGTATGAACAAATGTTCCCTATATCTACCACTTCGCCTCCTTACGGCCCTGGAACTCCTTCAGGATGGCGACGTTCTTCTCAAGAGCCACCACCTCGGCGTTCAGGGACTCGTTGACCTTGACCTGGTCCTCACCAAGCTTGGCGTAGAAGTCCTTGCGGTAGGGAGTAGCCGACATAGCAGCAGAGAAGATGGGCTTGATAACGAAGGAGTGGTGGGGCTTGAGGGTGTTGCCGTAGGCTTCACGGAAGGAGTCGGACAGCTCGGTGCTGCCGTTGTTCAGGTTGTGGCGGAGGGCCTGGGCGGTGAAGTCAAGACCTCTGTAGCACAAAACAAATTGTATATTAGCATGTGTAACTCAAATAGCACGTATACAACGACTCAACAGCCGTTAACCCACAGTGGGGTGGGGGAGGGTGGGTAGGTACGTAGACATACCTGACAAGCCAGAGCAGACCTTCAGAGGCGACGTGCTTCTTGGTCTTCAGCTCGTTGACAACAAGAGCCTGGAGAGTCTCAGACTCAGCGGGGGCAGCCAGCTGCCTCTCCCTGACTTTCTACGATAGAGAGTCAGCTTCCGATAGCATCTGATTGCGGGGTACTAATGTATGTTCGAACCTTGATGTTGTTGGTCAAATCATTCTTCACAGGAGTGAAAGCCTTGGAGCCGAGAACATCTAGGTGAACGGCATCAGTATTGCTTCCTTATTAACAGCAAACATGGCCAATGGCATACCGAAAAGAGTGGTGAGGGACTCAGCAGCTTCAAGGAACTCAGTGGTCGAGATGCCGTTGTCGTTAGCAGCATCGATCTTAACGTCCGCGAAGGACCTCTTCTGTTCGTCGAACCAGGTAGCAGGCATGATGTCTAATGAAGATGATAAAGTCTAACAAAGGTAGAGAGCAAAAATGCGAAGAGAAAGTGAGCGATTTAAATAGATACAATCAGGGGGTCCAGGGGAAGGAAAAGGCAACGTGGAGGGGAAGGCGGCAGTTTAACAACAACGACAGGCGGCCTGTCACTCTCTCCCACTCTCTCACACCGCCGGAAGCGGGACACGCAAGCGGTGAGGCCAATCAGCGGGTCCATTGCCCCTGATCAATCTATCCTTAGGTAAGACACGGCACAAACAGTACAAACTCCCTCTGCGCGGTCACGGGATGGGCAGCGACGTCATCGTGTCTGTTGGCCGGCTCTGTATACCTCTGACTTGTTTACTCTCTAGAAGCTTCATACTAGGCAAGCATGTCAGCGATATCATGAGTATTAATCTGTATGCCACATTTCATCTCGATTAGTGTTCAGGCGTAGCTCTGAGATCGTATCCTATGTGACGGCTGCTACGGATAACGCGAGGTCAGAGGCTAAGATTCCTTGCTATAATCAATGTACTACCCTGGAATTTGGCCCCCTTTGAAACAGTCTACTTCACGTTCCTTGAATGGATCGTCAAATTGCACATAAAACATGTCACCATTAAGGGGGAAATACTACTTAGAAGACAAAACAATGCTGCCGAGAAGTGAAAGCCCAGTCGTAGAGACATGCCACATACCAGGATGATATCTCATTAAAACCGCGCTGCATGTCGATAAGCGCTACCCATTAATCAATCCCTTCAACGCCAAGCTCAAAGCATACGTTGCATCACTCAATGCATTAACTATCTCATGATTGGCTGGAGCAAGGCGACTACCAATCCTTTGCCAGCACACTGTCTGAAGCGTTGGAGCCGTCCATCTCAATGATCCCACTGGACTGAACGCTCTGCACATCAGTCGCAGAGGGAGGCCTATCAACCTCAACCGGTTCGTCGTCCAGTTTCTCTGTGCGGCCATCTTCCGATTTGTCAACCTCCTCCCAGTCATCGTCAGATCTGATAGAGAAATCCTCCATGTAGCTTCGACCGCTACGTTCGGTCTGGTCCGCGTTAACCTTTTGCTTCTTAGTGTCCGGTTCTCCGTTCAAGGCAGGATCAACGGTCGGTGGGTCGGGAAGCTTTGCTGCGAGCATCTCCGCCGATTTCGAAGACTCACCGTCAGATTCGAGTTGAGATTCGCGGTCGCTGCTGGCGCTAGGGGCACCCTGATCTTCTGGAGGGAAGAACAAGCTAATACTGTTAGATATACCAATACCACCAATATACTCGTGGCAAGTCATAACTCACGGAGTAAACTTCTCGTAGGCTATCTCATCCTTGCGCTCAAAGTTGCAGAAGATGATCCGTTCTAGTTTCCCGATGTTGCTCGGAATCTCCATGAACTTCCGTGTCTCATCGAGAACGACACGGGCAGCTGATTCACTCGGATAGCCGTACACGCCTGTGCTGATTGCCGAAAAGGCAATGCTTTTCATGTTGTTCTCCACAGCAACCTCCAGACTGCGGCGGTAGCAGCTGCGTAGTAGAGACTCCGGGCGCTCCCTCCCTCTTTGCAATTCAAGATCATAGATAGGCCCAACAGTATGAATGATTCGTTTGCACGGAAGGTCATAGGCAGAGGTTATCTTGGCATCACCGGTATCACAGCCATCGAGGGTGCGGCATTCCTCCAGCAGACCAGGTCCGGCGGCGCGGTGAATGACACCATCTACTCCACCTCCTCCAAGTAGAGACTTGTTTGCTGCATTCACGATACAGTCGACCCCATCCAATTTGGTGATGTCGTTGCGGATCAGAGAGATGGTGTCGTTCAAAGCCTTGGAAGGCTGCGCGAGCGGAGAGGAGACTGGAACCAGACGCTTGAATTTGTATAGAAGGGAAACGGTCGGAATCTCAGCGAGGGGCACGAGTGGAGGAGCCATTTTTAGGCAGACAACTGGTTAGATAGATCAACTCAGTAGTGTGAGTAATTGGAGCAGATGATGACAGGTTTGTTGACAGTAAACTGAACACTCGCCACAGAATGTGCTCGGGCTTAATCAGATTTTCTTGTCGTATAATGGGCTTCAATTTGTGAATGTCTCGTAAATCGCATTAATCAGTGATGTAACAAAGATGATGACGGTGATGATGGTGATGGACTGGGACTTGATGTGTTACTACTAGTAGTTGTTGGCAAAGGAGGGGAGCTCGACTGCACGTGATGGCACTGCGATACCCAAATACCCTTTATCTTATCGGAGGTGTTCTGAATGCGGTAATGCTCGCATGTGATCAAGAGCTGTCAACCAGATATCAGTTTCCCATTGTGATAATGAATGAAACTCTACTGATATGCCATTGTGCATTCGATTAGTGACGTCCTGATGTGGATTCGCCGATGGAAGCGTATACTAATGTCGTTCGCCCAGTAATCCATCATTATCACCAAGGAAGTCACAGCAGCAGTTGGGTTGTTAGCTACTGATGGGGAAATGCTTACTTCTACCTTCAAGGAAGAGTTCGAAACACTATCTTATTGTTTGGTTGCCATATTCTAGCATTGGAATATAATACTCTACAGTTAATATCTCATAAGTATAATCGAGCCTGTTTCTAAGCGCCTTCCACCAACCTTCTACTCATACCTGACATTCACGCTGCATGCAACTAATGCCGAGGGAAATTGCATGAAATCCCACGGTGCACCCATTACTACACTGAATCAACAGACACATCATAGCATAGTAGTCTCAACCAGCGATGGCACGATCTCAGTTAGTTGACGTTGACCACCCTCATAATTTAACCGAAGCCAATAATTGCCCAAGGAGCAGCAGCAAGGAGAGCTCTGCTGTGCAACATAAGAAAACGCCAGGCAAGGACGCAGACCATGATAAGGAAAAGCGGAGTACGTAGTGTATTCAACCCCCAATACATGACATGATAATGAAATGTCAACATGTCAGAATGATAGATTATAATGCACATCGACATGATCGGAGCTGTCATGATGTCAATTAACCAAGCTGACAATATCGCACTACTTACCCCATACATAAGAAATGTTAATCTATGACTCGGTCCGAGCGCCCTTGCGCCGCCACCACCCTTGAGCTTCTTTACCCCAATATCTTACCTATCTCAACCGATATGACTCGTAGAGTATACAGCGCACACAGGCGGTATGTATGCAATGATATATGTGCAATAACTTCCAGATAGAAAGAAGCCACAATCTTGCAATCTCATGACCGTGATTGGACCAGCCATGAGCGAGGCGAGCTAATGCAAGGGCGCGCCCGCCCGCCCGCCGACTGGCGGCACGCGATAGTTGTTCCATCGATCAGAGATCGAGGTCAACCAAATCATGATGGCATGAGCACAAGTAGTATTACCTTTTTTGGCCGATCATTATATTGTCTACCTACATAAAACAAAACCAGGAATCTAGATACCTGTTTATACTGCAACATTCTGGTAAAAATGAAATAAATTAGCCACCGGATAAGTCCCAGCGCCTTGGTTCTTTATCCCGGCCACCCTATTCCATGCATATAACAATTTTTGCATGGGAAAATCTCAATGTGGTTATTGTTTGGATGAAACAGATCGGGACTACTCTCCGATCTCTCCCTACAGTACTCCACAGCCTGGGTTATGTACCGCCGGTGTCGGTCGAGCTGCATCGGCCCTGCTTGTTGCTCTATACTATTCTCTGTTTGATGAGCATAAGCGAAACTTGACGAGCAGGGATCCCCTGTGCATTGGACACTGTCTGGAAGACAAGTACATATGTTAGTCAGTTGCCTTGCCCGTTGCCTTTTTCTTTTTTCCTCGATCTCTTGAGGGTGGGGGATAAGCAAAAACAAGGATATGTTGGGCTGAATGACAAGTGCTTCTCAATGACAGCTGTCATGATTGCCTTACATAGACACATAAATGAATCATTTTAGGCAGTTGTTCAGGCTCATAACAGATGCGACCATAACATGTTACGTATATTTTACTATGACTCAAGATGATGAGGGCCCAGAACGAGACAGACCATACTAGAAGGTATTATGTTCAATTGTAAAACCGCCCACATCGGGAGTACATTACTGCGAAAGGTAAGTAGGCTATATGTTCAGCGATGTTAGAAAACTAAAACTCTTTAAAAAGTGATTGAAGGAATACTGGAACTAAGAAAAGTAAGGAGCGATGGACGAACTTACCGAAAACGAAAAAAAAGCAAAGAAAAGGTCTTGTAATATTCCCCCTCCGCTCTTGGGAAAAGGCCTGCTGCAGTGAGTGAATGAGTAAGAATCAGATAGGTTGTTCTTCGCTGCAAGAATGCGGTAACTACACCCCGCCCCTTCTGCCGAGACATCGCAGCGATCTCGATCAGCGCGATCTTAAAAACTTTCCCTAAACTGTCTTGTTCCCGGTGAAAGTGGGGCCCATAGGTTCATCGCGCCCTTGTGCACCGTAGCACAACATACCATGAGATCGCGAACCCAATTCCAAATTCAAATTTCCTTGTTTGGGAAAGAAGATTTGTCCAAAATTTAGGGGATAGACAAAAAAAACATTTTCATTATTACAAACAGGGCAAGAAAAGTTTTTTTACTTATGATTTTTTTCTTTCTTCCTTTCTTCTCCTCAATTAACCCCCTCCTTCCAATTCCCCTCTAGCGGTGATGCTTGGCTTGCGAATTCTTCATGCTTAAAGAGTAGGTACCCCATCTAAAATTTAAGATGGCCAAGCGCCTTCCATTACGGTTCTTTGTTCCATCCAGTCAGCGGGGTTATCCGCGGTGGGGCTATGTGCAGAAAACCCATTTGGTCGAGATCTGATGTCTTGTCCATCGAGCCACCATCGCACGCTAGTCGGGAACCCAAGATGAGTGTTACCTCTCATCCCGTGGGATCGCTTGTTCTAACCCTCATTTGGTAAAAGCTCCATGCTGCTGATCGATAGATCGTAGCACTGCCCGGTTTTGAAGATTGGGGGAAAGCAAAACAAAGCGTAAAAGAAAAAAAAAAAAAAAGTCTAGGTTCGATTTGTCGATTGTTGGGGGAAGGGAACGGACGGGACCCGCGGGCTACTACAATTGCGATGTAAGAGGAAAGGATACGACGGGACCTAAACTTAGGTAATACAACCTTCAAGATAACCAGTGTGGATATCATTGGGAGAGGGGAGAGGAAGGAAATCGGGAAATCCTTGCGAAGCTCTTACTAGAAAAAGCAACATCCGTATGGGAATTGGGGACTCAACGTAACTGGGGAATTATAGTACGACCACAACTGGAAGCAAAGAACCATTCAGGAGGAAGAGTGAGACATTTGAAATTTCAAATCTTGAGATGGAGGAAATAAAAAAAGGCCTAGGTATTATTATTATCCACCCACAACCCGCTCAGTCTGCACTTCTTACGTGCATACTTGCAGGAGGCTTTTCCTAAGGCATCCTAGCAGCTTGACTTAGGCAGCCGTGCATTCCGGTCTCCCTCCCGGTCTGTTTCTTTTGTTTTTTTTTTTTTTTTTTTTTTTTTGACTTCCCCCTCTCGTGTTCTTTTGTTATTGTTTGTGGTTTCTTCAAAATAGTATGAGGGGCGCACTGCTCGCTGAGTTGGCACGTAACGATTCCAATAACTAAGTGAGATTTAGTCTACCCATAGGCTTGGTGTCCTTTGGGTCATGATAGGATAGAGTAAACATGGCAACTTGGTTAAGTAGTAGGCTGGG